GTTTTTTTTTTTTTAAATGTTTGAAAACACAAATGACATCGCATGTGCCACTTACCAATTAACCTGCGTTCATTTTTTTAGTATTAGTGGACCCCACAAAAATAATGATTCGTAAGTGTATCGGTTAATTGGATAATGTGTAACCACTGGTTGGGCCATAAGTATCATGATTTTTTTAGCAAATGTAAAAAAAATAATGACAGAAAATAAATTAACAAGATAAACAATAAATTGACAAAAAACTTAAAATTTTATTCCTCATGAGTTTTGATGTATACAATTGCTTATGTATGAAATAATAAAATTAAATTAAAAAATACAATAAAATTGGAAAATATAGTATAGTAGGAAAGAAAAAAAAGCATATATATATATGTTATCATATTTACATATTATTATATTATATTGTATTATTATATTATATATATTATATTGTATTATTATATAATATATATCGCACCATTGCATGCCATCACACATACCTCAAAACCCAAGCCTGGCATGGCAAGAAGATTTAAGTTCGGCCTGAGTCATGTTAAGTTGCCTATGGGTGGCCCAACCCATTTTACAACTCTAAATATTGCCCTTAAGGGCTTACTCATGTGAGTAAATCACTTCCCCGCTCATTGAGAAAATTACTTATATATTATTCCTTCTAATAATATCCTTTTTTTTTGTCCGATTTTATTTGATAAACAAAATAACACTATAATAATGATAATCTATATACAAATACTAAAATAAGGATGACCACGTCAAGTGGCTTCTCCTTGATCCATTTCTCCAACCCATGCAATTCTAGGTAAGGTGCATTATTGGGGTTCGGATGTAGTAGGCATGTTAGATAAGCACAATGAGTGAGCATGTAATATCTATGTGACACATGTCATAACTAACGCACCTTTCATTCAAATGTTTTTGCTTAATTAGACAGAAATTATCCATTATTTTATTATTTTTGCCAAAATAAAAAACAATAAAAAAAGAAAGCATAAATGGGTCCAAACTCCGAACATGTTTAGGTTTTCCTTTTTCATTGTTTTTATTTTTAATTATTTTGACGAAAATAATAAAATAATGGATAAGTTCTGTCTAATGGAGCAAAAACGTTTGGATGAAAGGCGCATTAGCTAGGATATGTGTCACACAGCTATTATGTGCTCACTCATTGTGCTTACCTAACATGCCTACCACACCCCACAGCATGTTGTCACCTCAACATGCCCCTTTTCCCTTTCGCACCCCTAATGGAAACATGTTGTTTCAAAATTGAGTTCACATCTACACCCCACAGGAACCCCACATACATCTCAGCGTGCACTAGGAACATCTCCCAAAGTTATCATTTGGGAGATGTTTCTAATACACGTTTGGGATGTTGTGTAGGGCATAGATGTGAATTCCTCAAGTTTGTTTACTTTTAGTAATCCTCGCTTCCCAATTACCTACAAATTTTCCTAAAATATATTTATCTCTCTCTCTTTCTCTCTACACACCCTTAAAACCTCTCAAATACATTATGAAATTTCTCTAATTTCCATGCCACCCTTAACGTACATTGCTTATCTTTTTGATCAACCTCATACTGTTCACTTGTACATTGCTTATCTGTAAATCATTTAAGGCACTGATTTATTTTAGCTAGGAGGTTAATTAAAGTTAGCTAATTAACAAATAATTTATTTGATTAGTTAATTAAAATATTACCTAATTAAAACGAGTAACATAACTATCCTAATTAGTTCATTTAATTAAATGAAATGAACTTAAATTAATTAATATAATTAATCAACTTTAAATTAAGTCACCCTAATTAACCTGCATAATTTAATTAATGAAGTTAACCTTAACCCAAAGGCTAAATGTCAATTTGAAAATTGAACCATTTTTGCCCATGGGTTAGCGATTCAATTATAAGGTTTGAAATGGATCAACTTATGATATTCATCAGTGTTTTAAAAATGAACATGGAATCATAACCGCTTTGGCCACCGGTTTATGGGCTAGTGGTTTGACTGTCAGATTTGAATAGATGGACTTCTCCAATTAAAAAAATAGTAACATTTTAAAATAATTAAAATAAAAAACAATAAAAAAATTGTTGTGCAATTCGAATGGGTTACCGATTCAGCTATATGTGTCAGCGGGTTGCTAACTAAGTCAATGATGTTTGGCCAAGTTATCTGTTGAGGGTGAAACGGAACCAATTGCATTAACGATTTTTCAGGCTGAACAGTCCGAATGCTTGGGTCAAGGGCGCTTCAAAAACCATGATATGTTATCAGTCTATGAATGGGCATTCACTTCAATGATTATACAATTTGGATCAAAAGTCAATAGTAATGGGCTAAGTGGTAATTAAAGAAAAAATAAGCTTAATGATCTGTAACGGGGGAGGAGTGAATTTTTTTTTTTCTATGGGTGAAGACCTGATTAAATGAATGGAGATAGGAGAATAAACATGGATAGGGATTTGGGAGGCTAATCATTGGATTAGGGAGAAGGGAGAGGGGAGAGGGAAAATTTACATGGAGAGAAATATTATAAGTGGGGATTAAGGTTCCCCTGGTCGTATTTTATCCACCATTGATCATTGGTAGGGGTGGGTTTGAGCCGAGTCGAGCCAAATAGTACGAGGTTCAAGTTTAACTCGAGACTGTTCTACAAGGTTTGAGCTTGAGCTTGAGCTCAGTTTGAGTCAAAATCTTGAGCTCGAGCTCGGATTGAGTAAAAATTCATAAGCTCGATATCAATTTTGAGAAAAGAATGTTTTATAAAAATAAATATTTATAAATAAAAAATATTTTTTATTTGATATTTAAAAAATTAAGAATTATAATAATTAATAATTATAATATTCGAGTCGGCTCGCGAGTCTCATGAGCCGAGCTCTAGTAGGCTTGAGCTTGGCTTGTTTCATAATCGAGCCAGTGAATTGGATTCGAGCTCGGCTCGTTGCCACCCCTATCATTGGGGTTGCTTTATCTTTAAACTATGTTTGGTTTGAAGAAAAAGATAGCGAAAGGAAGGGAAAGATAGGAAAACCTTTCCCTTCAAACCAAACACAACATTATGTTAAAGCGTTTCCCTATTTATCAAAAAAATTGGGGATGGATTTGATTTAACTTTAAAAATGTCAAAGACTCCTACCTTAAATATATTTGGCAAAGCCTGCATTGTCCAACTAATTCGATGAGTTCGGATTTTCTTTAGGGCAAATTTGACTATTGTCTAATACTATTTCAAAAAATTACCATTGGCGTTAAATGTTAATGAAATGGATGAAATGACAGTTCTACCCTTACGTTAAATTATTTGAAAGCAATTCTCTTCTCTCTCTCTTCACCTTTTCCGCACATTGTGTAATGTCAACGAAGCCATATTTGTCGCCGCTGCAACCTTTGAAAGATCACCAATGGAAACCAACCGATACCACTCGATCTACCGGTGCATCGAAATTTTGTGTTGACGTCAACCCGATCTACATGAACCAAAAGAGTGAATGAGTGTTGCAGACCAGATGATGGTGGAAATGCTGCTGGTTTGGTGTCTAACCAGCTCGAGGCAGAGATCCGGATAACCCATTATATAATCCTTGAATAGAAGAAGGCTCTCTGTTATGAAATTCAAAGAAGAAAAATAGCACCGCCAACAAAACTTGGGTCAGAATATTTTGACCCCCTCCTCACACCTCCTCCATCAAGCTCCCTCTCATGGTTTACTTCCATGGCGGTGGCTTCATCCTCCGCAACACAACTTCCACAATTTATCACCATGGTTTATTTCCATTCAATTTCCTACCTTGATCGCTTCCATCGAGCACCATCTAACTCCCGAAAAGCCCCCTCCCAACGACTTATGAGGATGCAATCAAAATGTTGCACTGGGTTAGGAAACACGCTCCACATAGCATCGTTAGACGTTGAAATGCATTTCAAAATATGGAGCGTACCTTCCACAAAAATCAATTTCTTTCTATACCTGTCAAATTCATATTCACATTTTTTATTTTTGCCATTTTGTGTTCTTCAAACAAAAGAGAGAACTACAGAGTGTCGGTTCTGTTCATCTTCTTCAAGCTTGTGACACCAAACAGAGACGGCGGTGAGCCTTAATGGAGGTCGTCAAATCAAAGCCGGTAGTGAACCTCAAGAAATCTTTGGCTGTTTTGTGCTCCAAGTCCGAAATAGGTAATGGGTGAATGAAAAAAAATTTGAGGTGGTTGGCAGTGGAGGTGGAATCGTTGAGAGACTTCTGATGTGGTCGGAGAATCGTTGAGAGGAACCGGGTTGTTGATGCTTAATGAAAGTTGGGAAGATTCGTTCGAGTAGGGTTTTTGAGGGGCTTACGGGGTTTGGAGATTTAAAGAAGCATCGGCAACATTACCGCGGGATCGGTCGACAAGGAGTCGGGAATCGGAGGAATCAGCACTGCTAAGCTTAATGGAAGTTGTAGAAGCCTCGACTTGGCACTGAGAAAAGCAATTCCGTCGGCAATCTCAGCATTCTAGCGCCAGCACCAACACCCCTTGAAAGAAGTAACTATATTGCTGAAGAGCCATCGATTTGGTTGCTGGAGAATTCCGCTTATCTGGTGACGGAGGCAGTCAGAGGAAGATAGATGGAAGAAAGAGAGGTCAAAAGAGGAAGGGGTGCCTGTCAAGACGAAGGGGGCGAAGGCAACATTGGGTTTTTAAAACACGACATGATCACCTGTATACGGTTTTGAGGAAATATTAACGGATGTTAAAGGCAAGGATAAAACTAGTTAATTGTCCGAAATGACAAGGGGTAGAGTTAGACGATAGTGAAACAGCAAGGGTATAGTTAGTCCATTAAATGATAGTTTAAGAAATATATCATTTTCTTTATCACAAAGCGCTCCTCCTACCGTACTTTATTATTGATGGGAGATGTTTCAAATACACGGTGAGATATGCTGTGAGGTCGGTGTGAAGATCAAATCCCAAAATCCCAATTCCTGCCGGCTAATAATAAGTCTACAATAATTCAACCCTCAGACCCGGGAAACAGGGGCTAATAGCCTTCCGGGGTAGTTCTCGCTTTCAAGTTAAAAATATTTTGATAAACAGAAGCTTTCTCGCTCAAACACGATATACTTTTTTCTTTCTCCTTGATCTTTCCTTTCACCGCCATTCTGCCTGCAAGCATCTAACATCCTTCTAGTCAGGTCCACCTAGAAACTTGCTCATTTGTGATTTCTGCCTCCGACTCCGATCACCGAAAGGTGCTCATAGACGTCGGCTTGAATCACAGCCTATCCAAAAATTAGCATTGCTTTCTTGTAACCTCTTCATGTGGCCAAAGCAAAAACGCCTTGCTCTCTGGTTCTTGTTATTAGCGTCTGCAGCTGCATTGGCTGCGACCTTCACCGCCACTGCTAGGGCAGATGGTATAAATAAGTCAGCAGTAGGAGAACTATTTTGGGCAACGGCAAAACAGGAGGATGATTTGTTGAGAAAGGCGGCAGCTGACGAATCGGCGATTGCGGGGAACGACGAGGGCAAAAAAAATGACAATAATGATGGCGATCATGACCTCGAATTCGATGGTGGTTTCTCTTCTCTAGATAGCATGTTGCAGTGGGCCATAGGTAATGTTTACCCATTCAGTCCCCTTTAATACTTCGTTCATGCTGGTTGCATTTGGATTGCCTTTTGGAAACTTAAACGTTTATGTTTACTTGAAAAAAGGACAAATGTCTACATGTTTGTTATTGTGGAGTACACCGGGAATTGAATGGTTTTAGTAAGAAGAGAATATGGACATTTCGTGCTTTACGGCAAGCAAATACTATTTCCTTTTTTTATTAATCTTTTTTTTTCTTGAGTGGAAACACAATTTACTTGGATTGCACTTTGCACATAAGCCATATTGTTGGGTACGACTTTACATCAGACATTGCCTTGTATTATTTGGACAGGCTACAAGGCTAACTAACGGATCTAGTTATCGTGCCCCTCACATTGTCTTAATTAAGATGATAGATAACGAAGAATTACTTCTAGCCACTCGCAAGGAATATTAGCATTATCAAGTATTTCCCATGTTGCAATGCTATATCCAATAATACCAAGAATAGAAGCACAATACAGGGAGAAAAAACGGGTGTTCGACAATATGTGTGCATGTGAGTACGCTTTTTTTTTCCTGATGTGACATATCCATATATGCTGGCATCAACCTTTTGGAGGATCATGCCTGAATCAGTCCAATAAAATGATTATCGTGATATCGTCTATTGCAAAGTGTTCAGTTATGTTTTGTTTATAAATGTAGGTAGTATCTGTTACGGATGGACAGTAAGGTTTCAGGTGCTTCAACTTGACATGAAAGTTGGTCAATCATTTCTGAATCCACTTTTAATAAGTGAAGGAAAAAAACTGGGTGGGTGGGGGGTTAAGTGACCATATTTGGAGTAAATTATGCTAGACATTATAACAAAATAAAAGTTGTTCAAGGTCAGAGGATAAGAAATATTTAGCAATGCTTTGATTACAGTAACAAAATAATGTCAGCTTAAATTCAAAATCTCAAATACCAAGCAGCAAAAACTATGACTCCTGCATACCCTACAATTAACCAATCCTGTCTCTTGCTTCATCTTACCATTTTCTCAGAAAACACATTTTGTGCTTCTGCTACTTGTTCCTCAAAGGAGAAAAAGAGAAAAATCAGCATTTACTCTGGTCTTGGTAGGTGAGAATCATTTTTTTAGAGTGGAGTTGTTGCATCCTTCTTCAGGGCCTTGCATTTATGTACTCTCTGGATTTTGAGGGAGTTCAGCCTGAGAGGATTTAGGAAGTTGTTAGATTAGGTGTATGATGGTTTTTATGGTCACTAGAATTAGTATTTTCCCATACATCTTGGTCATATTGCATTATAAAAAAAGGGTCATATTGCAATGGTCCTGGTCATCAATCTCAGATAGATTTGCAAATTTCTTGCTATAAATATAAAAATAGTGTTTCACATAAATAAGTTCCACAAAGGCTTGCTTGTATTCTACACTACTTTAGTAGTTAGTTGCTAGTGAACTGTAGCTGAGATTTTCTTAGTATAATTTGGCACGTGAATGTAGGTCATTCTGATCCAATGAAGATGAAAGAAACAGCACAGGATGTTCAACGTCTATCTCCCAATGAGCTAAAGAAGCGCCAATTGGAAATAAAGGTTAGAGTTTTGTGGTGTTTATGTTTCAAGGTTCTTTGATGAGTAGTAGTGCAATTTTATTAAAACAGTAACTGTTTATGTTTCAAGGTTAAACAACTTGTTTCTTCAATTCTGCTTGATAATTTAGTAGTCGAGTTACTGCAAACCAATTATAATTGGGTAACATAGACAGGGGTGGCAATTTATCATCCAACCTATGCAACCCATCATCTTACAGGCCACCCTAACACACCAGTTTTTTTTGGTAGTAAATAAAAAAGAAAATTTATTAACACAAACCAAACTCAACCTTATCATTACAGATATTAAAACTATCCATAACTCCCACCCAATTCAAGTAAATCCCAAAAGTTTACTCCAAATGGTTCTCTTGAGACATCTCTGGATTCTGGAAGAATTAACTCCCAATCTGTCAGCTTTGAACCAATTGAAGTAAATCCCAAAAGTTTACTCCAAACGGTTCTCTCAAGACATCTCTGAATTCTGGAAGAATTAACACCCAATCCTTGAGCAAATCTTCATCCTGTTATTTTCTTTTCCTCCAAAGGTCCTTCTATTTATTTTTTTAACAGCGCTTTCCCAGCAAACAACAAAAGGAGCACGACTCCAGAAAATTTTAGCTTTTTTACTTCCTTGTAAAGTTGGCTAGTATGTGAAAGTTTCTCTAGGCGAACTTGGAACCAACATAGATAAATTAAAGAGATGAAGGAAATAGTTTCAATTTATCTCTTCTTAAGGATAGATTCCCGAACCTATATTCTCTTTCTTTGAAAATGTTTCAATTTATCTATTCTTTTTGTGTTTCTAGGGATTCTTGGGATCTAGGACTAAGGAGAGGTTTGAGGGACTCAGAAGTGGGTATGGAAGATGCTCTTTTTTCTCTTCTAAGCTCAGTTTTTCTAGACCACTCTTCTCCTGATAGTAGAATTTGGACTGAAAATTCTATAGGTAGTTTTTCTTGTTCTCCATTTTTCAATGCTATGGTCCTTCCTTTTAACCGGTTACCTCCTTTCCTATTAAAGAAGTATGGAGCGCTCCAGTACCCCCCAAAAGTAAGGGCTTTTTGTTGGGAAGTGGTTCTCCAAAAAATAAATACCTTGGAAGTGCTTCAAAGAAAGAGACCAAATTGGTTATTGTCCCCTCATGTCTGTAGCCTTTGCTTGAGGAATGGTGAGACAGTGAATCACCTATTAATTTCTTTTCCTTTTAGTGCTCTAATTTGGGATTGGTTCTCCTCTCTCTTTGATTGTAGGTGGACTCCCCCCCACAAGCGTAGCAGAATTATTTGACCCTAGTTTTTTCCAACAACCAAAGAAGAAAGGAAGGGTGATGTGGAGAACAACAATGGCAACTATCTTTGGGCAGTGTGGGAAGAGAGAAATAATAGGATTTTCCAAGGGAAAGAAAAATCAGTTCCTGTAGTTATTGAAGGGATCACCATTAAGGCAGTACATTGGTTGAAAACTCTTGACTTGTTCAAGGATGTCTCCATAGATGATTTGACTAGAGGCTGGAGTATTTTAGCAAGGGATCACCATCAAGGCAGTAGGCTCTCCTCCAGGGGCTCAGATTGGCCAAGCAATTGGGTGCACAAGTTTATTGGTCTAGGAGGTTAGCAAATGCTTTAGCTGACAACCTAGCAAAGCAAGGGGTGAATCTGGAGGTCTTGTTTTGGGAAGTGTTGTAAGTTGTTTTTTTTTGTTTAGGGGCCACCTTTCACTTTAGAAGGTGACAATTGTTCTGGTTTTATCTAATGAAAGTTACTGTTTCATATCCTAAAAAAAAGCCCCAAACAAAATGTGGGAATTTGCACTTGTAACATAGGTGAATCACGTCCTCTTCCTTAAATTCGCAAAGTGCACACCTGATAGCAGGTTGCAATCCTTTTCTCTTAACGTGATTCTGCGTGAGAATGCTATCCAAAGGCATTGGCCATGCAAAATCCTCCACTCTTGGAGGGACATGATTGCCCCAAATACCACCTTTCAACCTGATTTTTTTGACCAAGTCTTGTTAAAGTGATTTTATTATGAATCTGGCATTCTATTGAAGCCCAAACAGCCCAAGGAGAAGTTGTTTTGAGCCCAGTAGCAGGTGCAAGGCACGCTCCCATCGCTCATCACTTCACTAGAAGACAAAAAGGCTAGCTTGCCACATCTATAGGTCCTCTATCAGAGTAGTTACATTGCCACATGAAGACATTTTCCCCATGATTGCATTGGAAGGCCCTAATCGTGTAATAAATGGAGTCGGTGAATGAATACCTATTTTCCCTCCCTCTCTTTGTTCTCTCATTCCCATCCTTGTTCTTTCATCATCTATCCATTTTAGGAGGTTAAGCCACCCTCGAAGGGGCTTCCGTTGTGAGAGGTTCTCATCATTTTGGTATTAAAGCTCCAGAGTGCAAGATTTCACAGGCCCATTCTGCAACCGTCGATGACAGGGTCGACCAAATTGAGGTTGGACTTCATTAGGTGGTCTCTGAGCTAAAGGAATTCAGGGCATTGGTTTCTGACATCACCTTGCAACAACAAACCAAAGAATCTGGTCGCAAGGAAGGAGAGGCGAAAGTATCCGCTTACAATGGCCCAAGGATGGGGGGACATCCCACCAGGAAGGTTACTAAGATTGGTTTTCCCAACTATTCCGGCGGGGATCCCATTCCCTGGATTTTTAGAGCAGAAATATACTAGGAGTACCATGAAACTCTAGGCCACCATGTGTCTCCATTGCCTTGATCCATCTAGAGGGGGACACAATTCTTTGGTTCCAGTGGTTTTGCCAAAATCACCTACAAGTCACTTGGTCGGAGTTTACTGAAGCAATGTGCATATGTTTTGGGCCGACGACATTCAAAGGCTATGATGAACTCCTCGCCGGACTAAAGTAGATAGGAATTGTTAAGGAATACTAGCTAGAGTTTGAGCGGTTGGCGACAAGGATGCACACTTGGCCAGAGTAGGCCTTGGTGGGGTGTTTTGTAGGAGGCCTTCGAGACAATATCCACTTGGAAGTGAAGGCACTCCAACTGGCGATGGCCATGGCTGCGGTGGGAATGGCTCATTTGCAGGAGAGGATAGATAGCCTCCATCGGACCAATAAGTAGCTCAGACCAATTCTAAAGATTCCACCCCGGTTTGACCAGCAATCATCGAAGCCTACAGTAGACCCCTTAAAGCCCATAATGCCATGGCCCACAATGCCCTTCAAGCACTTGTCATGGGTCAAAATGCAAGCCCAACGCAATAAAGGCTTGTGTTATAATTGCAACGGCAAATTTGGGTCGGGCCATAAATGCAAGGCCCAATGAGTATTTCTTTTACAACTAGAGGAGGAGGTGGATGACTCAGGCCCAAATAACTCAGCTGAATGTGAATTAACACCAGATGGGTCAGAACCTGAGAAAGCTGGGATTTCTTTACATGCCCTAATGGGCCTCAATTTTCTTCAATCCATGCGGGTAGAAGGAAAATTTTTGGGTTGGATTGTGCTGATCTTAATCAACGGTGGCTCTACTCTAAATTTTATCACCTATCATCTGGCTAAGTAGCTAGGTATGTCTGTTCAACATATTACTCCTTTTTCTATTCATGTGGCAAATGGAAGTCATCTATCATGTAATAGTGTATGTAAGAAGGTGAAGCTTCTCATATAAGGCCATAATTTCTGGGTGGATCTCCACCCATTGGACTTTTGTAGAGATGATGTTATCTTGGGGTTCATTGATTACATAGTTTGGGCACTGCACTCGGTGTTTAGGTCCAAATGACAATGGATTTCTATTTAGATGGTTGATCTTGTCATTTGCAAGGACTGTGTCACACTGGTTTTGGACAGCAAGGACTGTTCACACCCACCACAGCCCAACAAGAAGCCTTACAGTCGTTGCTTGGTCAGCTTACTGATGTATTTAAGGAGCCGACTCCAGTTACCCCCTTCCTGAGCCCGTGATCACCAAATACCCCTCTAACTAGGCTCTAATCCCACAAATGTAAGACCATATAGATATCCTTACTTTCAAAAGTTGGAAATGAGAAGGCAATGAAGGAATTATAAAAAAGGGATATATTCAACCCAATACCGACCCTTTTTTTTTTTAATCTCCAGTGCTCTTGGTTAAGAAGAAGGATGGTAGTTGGTGATTTTGTGTAGGCTACCATGCCTTAAATCAAATTACCGTGAAGGACATGTTTCCTATACCTCTCATTGATGAATTGCTTGACGAGTTAGGTGTGGCATGGGTGTTCTCCAAGTTAGACTTGTGCTCCGGGTACCATCAAATCTGGGTCCACGAGGCTGATATACACAAAACGGCCTTTGGGATCCATGATGGCCATTATGAATTCTTGGTTATGCCTTTTGGGCTCACAAACACCCCCTCTACCTTCCAGGCAATCATGAATGACATTTTCAGACCATTCTTAAGGCGATTTATTTTGGTATTTTTTGACAAGAAGCAGGGATTGGGACACCCATCTGGAACATCTGAAACTCACACTCACCACTTTGAGAAGGTATTAGTTGCATGCCAAGCTATCAAAGTGCTCTTTCAGGCAAGGTCAAATTCAATACCTTGGGCACGTAGTTTCAGTGGGTAAGGTCATGGCAGACCCAGAGAAGGTGACGGCCATTCAAAATTGGCCAAATCCTCTTTTTGTGAAGTCACTACGGGGATTTCTTGGGCTTACAGGGTATTACGGGCGGTTCATCAAGAGTAGGGCTGATGGCTGCTCCATTAACACATCTATTGAAGAAAGATTCATTTATCTGGAATGATGAAGCCCAACGGGCTTTCGAGGGATTGTAGACAGCGGTTTCTAACCCACCAGTTCTCACTCTTCTGGGTTTTTCTCAGCCCTTTGAATCAGAATGTGATGCTTCAGGTGTTGGGGACTTGGCGTAGGGACATCCTGATGCAAAGGGGGCTGCCCATTGTCTACTTCAGCAAGGCTCTCTCACCTACTCACTGAAATCAGTCCACATATGTCAAAGAAATGATG